TCAATCTAGGGGAAAAGATTGTACATCTGCTCAAAACAGATGTGTATTTTTCCAGAGTTTGATCACAACTAACACGATCTATGAACCTCATGCACCATCAGATTTTGTGAAGAGACATACTTAGTTTGAAAATAGGCAATGTTACAATTGGATCACCAAACAAATTTCATTTGAATAGGAAAAAAGGGGGTGGGAGCTTTTTTTCTAAGGCAACACACTTTATAAGTATTAGAGTTTCCAGGTAGCTACAAAACAATATGTGATCCAGTGGGTCGTTTTTACAGAGACATTTCCTTCAGATTTGTCAATGTCTTCGACAATGGCAGAGCTTCTAATATACTGGAAAATTTGTTAAAAATTCAGGGAAATATTCAGATATACTTCTGCCTTGAAAACTGTCCATGTTGAACTATATAGCACAGTCAAATAGCAGGAGCTGACTACAGGACATGTTTTATGACTGTCTTGTGCATGCTATGATAATTTTATGTCATAAAGTGTTTTTAAACATTTGCCATATTTCAATTCCATGAGGCTCATGGGACTCGGATTTTCAATTCTGTAAATTCACCATTTGAGGTACCCAATGGTGGGATTCAAATAATTTAACTAGTTCTCTGCCCTAACGACTGTTTTAAGAAGGGGTATCAAACTAAATTTCATTGAGGGCCGGATCAGCATTATGGTCACCCTCAAAGGGCTAGGTGGGCGTGGCTGGTCATGTGACTGGGTGGGTGTGGCCAATTTGACATTGCTTATGTCAAGGGGCACTTGTGAGGGGCCAGACAAGGCTGGGAGGGGTGATCCAGGGTGAATGCCAAAGGCTGGGTGGATCAAACGGTGCTGGGGGTGGCAGCCAAACTGCCCTTTCAGTTTTAGGCTGGAATCCAGGCACAGAGGCAGCAGAGAGGTCAAAATGAGAACCCCTTCTTTGGGGATCACATCCATTTTGTTCTGAACATCATTCTGCTTGAAATTCATAATTTCAATATTCATAATTCAAACACATTAGGTCTGTACACTTATGGTAAACAAAGGAATTGCAATTCGTTCTCTCTGTCTTATTAAACCAAAATAGCTGGACTACAGAGTATGACAGTAAACATTGTCTCTACGGTACTAAGATAAGAAAGGCAGATGCTTACACACGGTGGTGGGATTCAAATAATTTAACAACTGGTTCTCTGCCCTGGTGGACATGGCTGGATGGGCACGGCCAGGGGGGCATGACAACACTCAGCCTCCTGCAGCACTCTGCCAGCCAAAACGGGGCACGGGGTTTAATTACAAAATGTGGGCTTTGCTTTGGTGGGCTTTGCTTTGTGACATCCAGACCCAGCGAGCAAGAGGTGTGAACTGCACAGAAAATACACTTTTGTTTGGTTATGAAGAAATATCCCCAAAGTCAGATATACACTAAAGACTTTTAACTACATACGTCCCCAGAAAACAGCAAATTTTGAAGCTCCAGGTAAAGAAGATTCATTTTAGGATGAGTAATCACAGTTTGCATGTTGGAGGTTCCTAAAGGAATGCTGGGAAACTATATTTTAAAGAACATTTGAGGGATGGGTGCAGTATAGCCCTTTTCTGCCTGAGGCTGTGGAGACTCGGAACCAATCAAAACACTTTTTGTGAAGCAACTGATGAACACTGACAGGGTAAGCCACTAATATATGAAAATAAGAGCAAACTCCAGTCCCTTCTAGTACTGATGTTACCTAGTTTGGTAATGAAACATCTGCAAGAAAACCATCAAGCTCAGCACTCTGGCGCGGGGGGGCCTGCACAATGGCCCCCCGTGTCCTGTTTTGGGCCTAGACGGCCTCTTGCACCAACCTAGAAGCCAAAATGGTGCACATGGAGGGACTCCTGGGAAGGGAGGATTGGGGCGGGGCCAGCCAGATTTGGGATCAGCCGGTTCTCTGAACTAGGCAAAAAGTTAACAACTGGTTCGCCTGAAGTGGTGCAAACCAGATGAATCCCACCTCTGGAGGTACCTTGATTTAAAAGTTTGCCTCTTATGCCCAGTTAAAGGTTATAGACATAGAGCTTTAGTAGTATACTAGACAACCAGGTCATGGTTTCAGAGATATTTGCTTACCAGATTCCTCAATGCCTTCAACAATGGCAGAGCTTCTAAAGTACTGTGAAGTTCTTAAAATTTTAGGGAGATACTCAGAAATGTATCTGCCTTTAACACAGCCCATGTTGAACTGTATAGTACAATCAAACAACAGCAGCTGACCACAGGAAATGCTTTATGATATTTTGTATTAGCAGTACATAGATATCATTTCATATACTTATTCCTTAAGAGGGTGGTCCTTTTTAGTGGTAAAATCATTTATTGATGTCAAAATTAAAAAAATACCACTAAATTCTAGAGGTATTTATTATCAATGATTGATGACATCATAACTGAATATTTACAAGAAAAGCAGGGAAAGGGGGAGGGACACGAAGAAAAGATTTAGCTAGAAGACTAAAATGAGATCCTGGAGAGCAGATGATGGCCTTTCAAAAAATGAACAATATGACCAAAACTAACAACAATGAATTGAACAATGCCTAACCGGAAGATACGGAAGAATTAATAAGACAGACATGGCAAAATTACACAAAGTCACTGGATGTGATTCTATTTTGAGTGTTAGGGCAAGAGTTCCCCAATTTTTCTGGATCAGCGGGAGGGAAAAGAAGGGATGATTTTGTGGGAGGGGCAAGTGTGTGTGTGTGTGAGTGCCCGCAACATTCCCAGCGACCCTCGCACAAGTGGGGCCATGAGCCATGTGCTGATGCTCACGCAAGTGGGGTTTTGTGTGCAAGCGGAGGTGCACACACTGGCCAGCCACTCATGCGGCCCAGTAGTGGGCTGTGGCCCACAGATTGGGGACCCCTGCGTTAGGGTATGAAACAATAAGAAGGTTGTATTTTAAAATGAATGCAAATCAAAATAAAGTGTGCAGTGAGATTACACTGCTAGAAACACCTGTAGAAATTCTAATTCTCTTACAACAAAAATCAAATAATAGAAACTAGAGAGTTTACATGTACAAGGCTACCTGTGAAGTTGAATTAAATTACAGAGCTCCATAAAATTGAAGGTGCCTGTTTGCTTAACAATTACCAATCCTTTTATTCAACTTGAATAGAATAGAAATAGTTTCGAACTAGGTCATTTGATCTTAGTATGGTTAGCAAAAAACAGGCAGGGAAGTAGTAATTATTTCTTTTACTACAGTTTCATTTCCAAAAATTCACAGCTAGAGGGCAATAAAGTCAGCATATTTAAATCTATAATTAAACAACTTGTACACCCCTATTCATATAAAGACAAAAGGAAAGCAAGAATATCTAATATCAGAAATTCATACATTAGGAAGAAATGAATGTCACTCTTTAAAAATGTCTCTTTTAAAACTGTAATCAGAAGCACAATGAATGCTAAAAGAAGTGTACTTTTCTAAAGATGATTTTAAGTTTAAAAAATGTTAGAACTTACAGATACATCTATATACAATATCTGGTTATGTTGAATCTATTGGAATTCCAGACACAATGTTTTCAAAAGTCTTGTCAAACAGAATTATGTTCAGATGACTATGACTACAACTTTTCACCAAAATATGAATCTTGGTTATCCTCTTGGTTATTCTCCAAGAGAAAGAAAAAATACCTGGATTCCATGTAGAGAAGAATTTCTCTATCTGAATCTCCCTCAATCTGATTTAACAGTTTTTAAATCACCTGTGTTATTTTCTTTCTGTTTCTCCCATAATGTTCCAAAGTTCCAAAAGAGTGAAAACAGTACACAGCTAAGCCATACCTAGCCACTGTAGCATGTGGACAAATCAGGACAAACTCTAAAAAAAATTGCAATATGCAGGATTAGCATTTGTCCTCTTTTGTGAGCTAACATTGTCTAGACTTGTTACTTGCGGTTTATGTAATAACCAAAGCCACAAATGGATTTTAACATTCTCTAATTGGGGCCAATTTAGGTTTTTGTATCTTGCAAGTTTTACTATTATTAATCAGTGTTTTTTGGGCCTCTCCCTTAAATACGATTTGGGAAAGTAAATCCCTGCAAAATATACCAGCAAACTAGTATAATGCTAATTTTACTTGAGTTAAAAACTGGTATCATCTAGCTTGTCTTATTTCAAATTTTTGATTTCGACTTTTAAAATTAATGATTCCTAGTCCAAATGCATTTTTGAGGGATAGTTTTCTCTAAATTAGTTCACCTATGTTGGAGTCTATGGCTTGGATGAGAGAATACAGTAACAATGGAAACTATTCTATGCACCTCATTTTAATATGGTTGTAGCTAATAGAGTCTGACATGCATGAGCTATACAGCATCTATGCACCACTTTTGATTGAAACAGTTCGAATGCGATATTGGAATTATCCAAGGCAGGAAAAAAATGTATAAAGAACGAAGCACAGAGCCGCTTGGTAATGCAAAACAACAGGTATAAAACAATGAGCATCCCTCCACCAGGAATCGCTGAGGAAGGAAAAAAACACGCAAACTCACACGAAAGTTCGCGAGCACTTTCTTCCCACCCACCGACCCCAAACCCTCGAAGGCGAAGGAGGAACGAGGCTGGCCGCATTTTATGCGACAGTTGACAGGGAAGCAGAGAGCCGCGGCCGAAACAGGTAAACAGAAAAAAAGGCAGAGGATAAGACTCGACGAGGATGTTTGCAGCTCCGGCTTCGCGCCGCCGCCATTTTTTCCCCCCGAGCCCCGATCTGTATGCACTTTTTTCGGGCGGGTGACGGCTCCGAGCGGCTTTTGTTTCGAGTGCAACTCAAACAGCATTCCTCCCCCTCCCCTCAGCGTTTCGGGAGCGGAGGTGCTGCTGCCAAGCGTTGGGCCTTGAAAGAGGAGACTCGGCCGCGCTCGCGCCAAGCTGTACAGAACCGGGACTTGTGGAGGAGGGGGGGCGGGGGAGAGGAGTAGCGCGCGCTCGCGCTCCCCGCTTTACCTTGCGGAGATAGCTGGCCACCACTTGCTCGAAGGGATATTTATAAACTCTCTGGGCCTCCACCGTCACCCCCATGCTGGGCACGGAGCCGACGCCGACGCGGCCCCTTCCTGCAAACTCAGGCGGCGTTTTTGGCAGACCAGCCAGCCGGCCGCCCTGGCTAGGCCCCTTCCCTCCACCAGGCGCCAGCCCTCGCCCGCTGAACTACGTAAAACTTTTATGACGGGCGGCGGCATCGCTTGCAGAACAACCCCGTCCTATAAGGTCACAATGTAAACCCAGGGCCAAACCGTGGAGGGGAAAGGGGAAAGTAGTAGGTCTCTCGCCCAGGGAAGGCGGGGACGCCCTTTTCCAAAAAGCGGCGCCGCCTTCTCGGACGTCCCGAATGGTGCTCGGCATTTGCCGTCCGCGACCTCAAAAAAAACCAAAAAGGGCAGCGCGGATTATAATTCGGTGCTAAAACGCGCTCTCGACTCCCGTGTGCTTTGGTTAAACGTAGAAATGCCACCTTTAGAGAAAAAGGATTGACGTAGGCTCTAAGTAGGAAAAACCCTCTCGGAATCCAATTAGGCTTTTCCCACGTGCCTTTCGCCACACCTCCTCCCCTCTCCCCGCATGCGGGTCAAAGTTTGCGCGTCTACTTCAGAGTTCTCAAATGAAAAAAGGCGATCCCCTCCGGGTTAGCCCCCCTCCGGTTACTAAGTGCTGTAAAAAAGGAAACGGGTCGTTGCATTATACAGCCCTAGCGTCGTCAAGGGCAGCAAATTCTCTTAACACAGAGCCATGAATTCGGAGCGACTCGGGATCGACCCGCGTTCGCAAGCGATTCGGAGTTTTAAGAAGGCGCTCGAGCTACGCCTGCCGGCAGTCCCATAATAAAGAAACATTTCGTCGACTCGTCTGGGTCCTCCTGCTGCTCGGTTCCCAAAGCGGGGATTTTTATGGAGGTGCCGGCAGATGCTACGTGGGTGGCGACGGCACAGGCTCCGAATAATATTTTCTGCGTCGAATCCGGATGAAATAATTTCAGATGATCGGCTCAACCTTACGAGGAGATTTATTTTTAGCTGCCAATAAGTATTTTGTGCTAGAAAATTACCGCGCTGTATTATTTTTTGTTGTTGTTGTTAAAGAATGATCTTAGGCAACAGGAGAGCCTGGCAGATCGGAGTGTCTGTTTTTTGTTTTGTTTTTTTAAATCCTGGTGTCAAATTAGCCCAATAATTGATGTTAGATCATTTTCTTCTTGCCCCTACCGCCCCCCCCCCCACTCCCTGGGTGGTTATTTGCTTCCACTCAAATGTTGAGGTTCAGTTTGCCTTACCAGCGGGGAAGCCCTTGTTTGAAATGAAATATATATGAAATAAAAATGCTTAGTTATAGATTATAAAACAAGTGGCACAGCATGCAGCCTTCTGCTAGTTGTACTACTGAATGTTGGAAGCAAACCACCGAGAAAAAAATGCAATTTCCCTTTTCTGATGGGAATTGTGCATAAACTGAGCCAATGCAGGTACACCCCAAATCCCATTAATACCATTCTAACTCATTTTGGTACAGGCACTGCCCTTCCCTTCCTGCTCTGGTAGCCCTTGACTACCGCAAAATAATAGCAAAAAAGATCTACAAATCTTAATAGAACAGAAGTAACTTCACATAAATACAACACTGAAATACTTAACACTGCTATTTTGAAGTAAATAGGATTGAGGGTGCAAAGTTTTACTGTCAGAGAAGTGGACAGAAAATTGATGTGCGTGTGTGTGTGTGTGTGTGTGCGTGCCTGTGTGTGTGGTGAAGAACAGTTGCTTACAATAAGAGATCCCAGTAGTAATATTAGGACAATTACCACAAGGATCCATAACCTCAGGACAACTGCCGAGAAGGTCCCTTTCCATATCTCTGCCCATCTTGTAAACAGGGAGTCACTGGATATTGACTTGTAACTACAGTAGATGGTTATAGGTGAAGTGAGGTGACACTTTCAAACATCAACCTATTTGACAGTTTATTCTGGAAAAATAGGAGCCTGGATAGCTCAGCAGACTAATGGATTGTAATTAACATCCAGCTGTCTGCAATTACTGTAAGTTCGAATCTCACCAGGCTCAAGGTTGACTCAGCCTTCCATCCTTTCTAAGGTAGGTAAATTGAGGACCCAGTTTGTGGGGGCAATAAGCTGACTTTGTATAAATATACAAAAGTATGAAGGCTATTGCTTAACGCATTGTAAGCTGCCCTGAGTCTCTGCTGAAGGGCGGCATATAAATCAAATAAAAAAAAAATTAGAGCAATGAGTATGTAAACAACCTCTTAGAAAAACAAGTATTTTAGCTACAAGATTGCACTGCAAAAGTCTGAACAACCACTAGGTGGCACAAAAGAGTTATTTTTCCCTGTATGTTTGCTGCCACCTAGTGGTTTTCCATCCCACATGTGGAAGTCCTAAACCAGGATTAGAATGCTAGGCACTAAAAAGTCAACATATGTGCTGTGTGTCTGTTGCTAACTCAGAGTAGCAGCTGAGGCACTGAACTCAGCTGTGGAATTAATAAAGTTAGTAGAGGAGAAAATAATTTTGCAGTGCCCCAAACCTTTCTGGCAGTTCTGGCAATCCATATCTAACTGCATGGATAAATATGTATTGATTTCAAAGCACCACAGCCATTACTAATCACTCCTATTTTATTTATAATACTTTTGTAGTGGCCTTTTTATTTAGCAAAAGCTATCCCTGGGCAATTTGTAAGCTAAAGTTTTGTTGCTCAAAACTTTAAAAAAACACTGTAATGTTAATAGCAATGAAAATTAATTTAGTAAAGTAAAATTGGAGACCGCAGTCAGTTACATACATTAAAAAAGAGTCAAAGAAAGAAAGAGTCATGCTTTCATCCATGGCAAGTCATTGTTCAAGGAACAAATCATCTCAGAAAAATCTGGTGTCACTTGTGCTCATCAACATCATTGATCTTATTGGAAGGCATGTAAGCAAAGCTGATTTTAGAGACTAGACAGCTATCAAAAGCTTCCATTAACAATGTTCAGAGATAAATATTGTTGCTTTTGTAGTCCAATTGCACACAAGGGGAAGATCTTAGTAGGCTCAGGGGAGTCATAAGATCTTCAGGGAAATTACAGAGAAAACAACGATTTAAGGAGGCAATTCCTCCCTCACCAGGAAACCAACCTGGTGAAGATTCATCATGTTCAGTGGGTTAAGAATGATGAATGTCTACTACATGTGTGGAGGGAGAAAACTCAGGAACGGAGAGAATGGGAAAGACGTTCCTTCCCAAAGAGGGATACCAGGTTATTACCTTCAAAAGTTGCATACCATATTCAAACTTGTATTCAATTACAGGCTACTTGAAGTCTTTGAGAATTTAGCTCAGTCCCCATTGAAGCAGCGTTATCCTTGTTCGGCCTTCACTGTTCATTTCTAACACCTTGGTTAATAGAGGTTATGTATTTTCAGTGTAATTATAGCACTTGGGCTGTCACTATATCTGATTCCCCTATCCAGTTGTGACCAATTCCATGTGGTGCTCATCTCCGTTTCTTAGCCAAGAGAGCCAACATTGTGCAAAGACATTTTTGTGGTCATGTTGGCAGTATGACTATATGCTGAGGTGCATAGAACACGTTTTCCCACTGAAGTGATACCTGTTTATCTATTCGCATTTGCATGCTTTCAAATTGCTAGGTTGGTGGAACAAGAGCTCACCCCATCACACAATGCTTGGGTCTCAAATCCCGGGCTGTTAGGTTTCCAACTAACAAGTTCAGCATCTTTAACATTTGAACTATCACACACACACACCCATATGTGATATAGAGGCCTTCAATTTAAGTGTGTTTAAATTTTAAAAAGATAATTGCAGTCTTGACTGAACAATTGGAAAACTAAATAAGAGTACTGGTCCAAATTAGCATCAGGGTGCTACAAGTGACGGGCTGCAGATCCCATTGATGCTCTAACCCAGGGCTGTCAAATTGGTGGTCCGCAGGCCAGATGCATCATGCGCAAGCCATGCCCACCCCAGCTCCGCGAAGGAGGGGGAAATTGATATATCACATGACAGCAATGTGACACGGTGAGTTTGACACCCATACTCTAGCCAATCCTGGAGGCAACTAATACTACCCAAGAGAAAAGGGATAGAGGGAGGCAGAAGTAGCCACTGAGAATAGCTAAAACTATATGATTAGAATCCCACTCTTTTTACATACTGTACTGTATATCACATTGCACATGTACAAAAGGGATGGTTCCTTTGACTAACTACAACTGTCATTACAACCCTGTAGAAGACCCTAAAAGGGGGTCCTTACTTCCTTATATTATTCTGACATTTTTGGCAAATAAGAAGATCCCTTGGAGAAACTACAGCCATTCAGTACTTCTCTGCCTTTTGTTTACATTGTTGGAATAGCTGGAACTGAAAGGTAAGAATAGCACTATAATAGATACTTATCATTCCAATCAAGCATTCCCTTTATGTTGAATTGCTTATGTAATTACAGTGTACAAAGATAGCTTGAAACAATTTATACATGTTTTATATATACAAATAATAAAGGCACATGTGCATTTATTTCCCTGTCTTGATGTACATTTTGATTAACATAATTTCTTTTGTAATTCTGCAACTATTTGAAATAAGAGATAATAAGATAATAAAAGGGAAGTTATAAATCATTTATAACTTATATAAGTTATAAAGTATTTATTTGTTATTGAAGCAGTGTCTTTTTTTACTTTACCTTTCAACAAATTGTTAGTTTATAAGATCAAAGAAAATGCTGAAAACTGGCTATGGCTATTACATAAGGTAGACAAATAGTAAATACAGAAAATCCAAATAATTTTTAGTCATATTCACACAGCTTGTAATTTAATTATTTTTATGTAAATGACATTCAGGATGTCAAATTACCACACCACTTATCTGACATGAAATTCGGATGAATACATTCAACAAGGAAATTTTTAAATAATACATGAGTAATATATGGAATAATACAATTATGAAAAGAATCTAATTGATAGCAAATGATATCTCTGAATGAGAAGTTAGTTAGGAACACCCAAATGTAATGTATAAACAGGAATCCAAATGAACATACACCTTTGGAGAAGAAAAATTGTGTTGTTCTGAGTATGTATGATGAACAATCCCATGTAAAAATATGGAGGCCTTTGTGCTTCGGTCAGCTTTTAGAATCACAGCCAAACAACCTGATAACAATTCTGATAATTTTGAAATTTCCTTGCTGTTACATCTAAATAATTCTATTATACCATTATTGATTAATGGTATAATAATTAATGGGCTTCATTAACCATTTGAATGGTTAGAATACAGTACGATCAATGCAAATATACTACTTTTTTCTAAGACTCAAGAGTAGAAGTAACAGTAATAACAGTAATAAATCTGTGTCTTCAAAAGCAAAATCTCCCTTCAGAATCAGGCTGCTTGGGAGTTCATGGCCATCATGATAACATGGACCTGATCCAATTTATAAAGGGTTCAATTCACAGCAGATATCATGTTTTTATATCAGGATAGTGGCGTCAGGATCTTGAATTGGAGGATGTTAATATCAGTCCTTTCCCAATGGACAGATCACTCTGGAGTTCTCTGCACCCCACCACGCACACTGCAGTGAAGTCAATCCCATGATCCCATTTGATCAGCCCACTCCAACCAACTAGTAGGCTTTCAGAAGGAACTTGAGATCCCCCCCATACACACACACCTTTCAGTCATGGCTTGGAATAATACTACAAGTACTCTAAATCAGATAGATCATGCCTGTGCAAACACTGCATTTGTGGATCCCATAGGATCTCCAGGTGTACCAATTAATTTTGGAAAATGAAGTGACACAAGAGATGCCTAGAGTTCCATTGGAGAAAGAACAGGCCAACCAGACACAGTAAGAGCCTTTATTAGCATCTACAAAAGAGATCCCTATCAGCTAATGGTTCATAGATAAATTAAATCGCATGTAACTCATACTTCAAATGTAAGTAGTGGCTTGCATGCTTTGAGTGAGACTAGGTTTAAGAGGCGATATGAAATATATGTATGTCAGTGGTGGGATTCAAAAATTTTTACTACTGGTTCTGTGGGCATGGCTTGGTGGGCATGGCAGGGGAAGGATACTGTAAAATCTCCATTCCCTTCCCATCCAGGGGAAGGTTAGTGCAAAATCCCCATTTCCTCCCGATCAGCTGGGACTCGGGAGGCAGAGAATAGATGGGGCCAGGGCCAGTCAGAGGTGGTATTTACCGGTTGTCCGAACTACTCAAAATTTCCGCTACCGGTTCTCCAGAACTGGTCAGAACCTGCTGAATACCAACTCTGATGTATATATATATTGGTAATCATCCAAAATGAAAGAAATAAGCAGAAAATACCAAACCCCTTCCTGAAGTAACTTTCTTATATTGTTGGTTGTGTCTTTTGTGGGTTCCCAGTTATAGGAAAAAGACAAAGTCGCAAGCATTGTTTTTCTAGTGCCCTAGTCTATTCAACCTTTAGCACAATATCTCAATCATATATTTTTCATTCTTTTTTACACAGATTTTCAATACAATATAGTTTTTCTCTGTAAATTTTCCAAAGGTAGCCTTTACACTCCCCACCCCCCAAATTACCCCTTTTACATAGGCAACTTTAATAAATAAAGAATCATAGATAAAGATGTCCAGTTTTTGACTAGAGGAAAGGTTATGTTAGCAGATTCCACACAAGTGCTTCTAAAGTACTTTTTTTTTTTTTTTTACAATGAAGTCCATTTAAAATATTTTTTTTCCCATGGATTCCCACAGAAATTCTTGGAGGATTGTTTTTATATCTTTAGTAGTAAGGGGAAGCTGATATACTTAAACAATTCAAAAGCAAAATATGCCTAACTTTTTCAAGTAAAATCCTTCCTTTGACATACATTCATTATGTGTTCATTAAAATTCAAAGCAGTTGCTTATTCTGGTTATATATTTAAAGGTCAGTTGAGTTTATCTGAATGAGATGCATACTGGCATATCCAAGCTGATAAGTCACTGCTTACATTTAGTTGAACAATAGCATTAAAGCGAATAATTCAGCAATTTTTTTTTTTAAATCATGTAATGTATATATCTCAATTCTAAATTACCTGCTTTTCCAACGTCAGGAGATGAAATCTATAAGGAATCTTTTAGTCCCATCAAGTCCTTAGATCCTGTATTCAGGCAAAGCCAGCATAGAAAATAAAGTGAAACTTAGGGCAAGCCCCCACCAGTGGTGAGTTGCCCCCGGTTCAGACCGGTTTGCAAGAACCGATAGTAAAACCGGCGGGAGGCTCCGCCCACCGACCCAGACGTTAGGAGGTTTCTGCGCGTGCGCAGAAGAGCAAGCGCGCGCACGCTGTCCCGTTGCAAATCAGTAGTAAAGGTAAGTAGAAACTAGTTGCGCCCCTATTTGGACCTAGATGCCCTACGCACGGTTACTCACGCGCTTGTTACCTCCCGTATTGACTACTGCAATGCCCTCTACATGGGGCTGCCCTTGAAGACCACTAAGAGACTTCAGCTGGTGCAGAATGCGGCCGCACGGGTTGTGATGGGAATATCCCGACACTCCCATGTTACACCTCTCCTACGCGACTTGCATTGGTTGCTGGTTGCCCTTCGAGTGAGATTCAAGGTGCTGGTGATTACCTATAAGACCCTACATGGCTTAGGCCTGGGATATTTGGGGGACCATCTGCAGCCAGCAACAGCTTCCCATCGCCCAGTGCATTCCCACAGAGAGTGCCTCCTCAGGGTGCCGTCGGCTAGACAGTGTCAGCTGGCGACCCCCAGGGGGAGGGCTTTATCTGTGGGCGCACCTACCCTTTGGAATCAACTGCCCCTGGAGCTCTGGGTAGTCCCTGACCTCTGCTCTTTCCACCGCAACCTGAAAATGGCTGTTTCGTTTGGCCGGCCTGGACTGATGGGGTTTTAATTCTAATTTAATTTTAACTTGTTAGTCTTAATTGTACTTTTAGCTGTTAAATTATGAGATTTGGATTTAATTTTTTAACTTTTTATTAGATGCTTCTTAACTGTTGTGAGCCGCCCTGAGTCCGGCTGGAGATAGGGCGGCATATAAATCTATAAATAAATAAATAAATAAATAAATAAATACATACATACATACATACATACATACATACATACATACATACATACATACATACCACCCTGGCTCCTCTCCAACCCCCCCCCCCAAAACCACGACCCAAATTTGCTTTCTTATGGGCTGAGCTGTACAGCAATTTGGATTTGAAGATGAGAGGGTAATTTGGAGAGCAAGTAAATACTCATACCCCTTGTCTCCAACTTTGTAAAGAAGCTTATGTTACAGCAGTGGGATTCAAGGAGATACCAAGAGGTGCCACATGTACATCTCTGCTCCGAATTACCTTTTCCTTTTCAAATTCAAATCACTGTACAGTCCTGCTTATTAGCAATAGTTCTGGTGTTCCCCACAGTACATGTTAAATATTTAACACTGCTTCTTCATCTGAACTAATCAGAACTCATGTTTTAGAAATTACAAGGGGGAATTCTTTTTAAAGAACACAAGTACCATTTGTTAACTGCAAATCCTGGGAGAGGCGAAGCTTCCCATTAACATCAGTTATAGTTTCCCTCTGAAGAAAGGGACAAATATATTTTTTCCAAATGTTCTAGTACATTGATTGCTGTTGTTTTCTTCCTTTTTTCAGCTAGTTATGTATAGAAATATGGGGCTGCCTAAATCGAGTAACAGAAGTAAAAAGATTCTCTACATAAAGCACATTAAAAAGTATTCCATTTGAAATGATCCAGGTTTGAAAGAAAACGGATGAACCAATGGAGGAATGAATGTACAACTAATTGCAAAACATGTTGCAAAATGAAATTGTTCATGAATGTTAAATACAGCATGACATTTAGTCAGCCAGCTAAAAGTGTAAATAAATAGTATCTGACAAGTTATTTTATGTGCTAAGAATCTTTTGATAGAAGCCATACCTAAAGATGGATTTAAATAGAGCTTCTGCATCTGCAATGCAAAGTTTTGTACAATCACTGGAAGTCAGTCAAGAAGTACAATTTTTAAAATCCCTTTGTTACCTTATAGTGCTAGTCTTGATTTTTTTTCAAAATAATTTTAACAATTGATGCATTTTTTTTCTTCCATCTAATCACATCTAATCACATCTTCCATATAACCACATCCAGACTAGCTGGACAAGTCCCTGCAGTTTTCTGGCAAAGTTTTTTTTTTTTCCAGAAGTGGTTTGGCATTGCCTCCTTACTAAGGCTTAGAAGAAGTGACTGGCCCAAGATCACCCAGCTGATTTGTGCCAAAGGCAGGGCTAAAATTCAGTCTCCTGGTTTCTGTCTTGATGTCTTAATCACTAGACCAAATTGAGTCTCATTTCTATTTTAGCAAGTCCCAAAACAATAACTTTTGTTCTGCCAAGGATGCAAGAAAGTATAAATACTTAAGGAGCCCTGGAAACTGTAACTTGCAAATAGTTTGGATAACCTCAAGAATTTTCAGATGGATAATTTCCTGAAAGATAGGCATACAGCTAGCTAACTAGTTAGCTGTTTGTTTGTTTGTTTGTTTGTTTGTTTTAGATTTAGTAAGGTTGCCTGACTCCAAAATACTTTTTAATCCAAAGATTATTAAAACAGTCCTGTTATCTCTGACACTTTTTTTCTTCTCATGTTTTGGAACTCCTGGTTGTACCAGAACAAGAGTTCCATTTTGTTTCTTCTGTCTGAGCTGGGTCTGTTCTTTTAAAAAAATAAGACCAAAGGAACCTAGAACATAAGCTAGGCAAAGTTAAGTCTTTTTATATGACATTTATATTACTCTATAAGTGCAGCTTTACTTTCACTCAGCTGAAAACAGAAAAAAAGTTGTCTTGAAACATGTGGCAGCTCTTTTAATTCAGCGGAAAGCCTGGCAATCGATAAGACTCTTTAACAACCAAGCATAAAAAGATAGCTTCCTAGCTAAAGAAGATGGATTGGCATAGACTATTTGATGGGGTCTGTTCTATTCGAAAGAAAGTAAGTCAAGAAAAATTAAAGAATAGATAGAGTCACTAAACACAAATCTGGCAAGGCTGCTGCCCGTTTTCATTACAGGCAGGGCATCGCAGAGCTCTGTATGACTCTTTAAATCGATTAGCCAACATTGAAAACTTGCTTCCATGACACACAGCACAGGGGGCAGAGCCTGATCCTTTACACTGTGAGCAGCTGTTCTCCTCGTCGCCTTCCTGAAATACAAAGGCTTGATTAAACAATTTTTCTTCATATCGGTTCATACAAACCTTTATCCAGAAGAAAAACAAGTAACAGGAAAAGTTCTCCAAAGTAAATTTTTTCTTGGCAAAATAAGCAAATTATAGGATTTGCATTGTTTTCATCCAGAATTTTAAATATTATTCAAACATAGTTTGGCTTTTGCTGCTGGGGGTAGGGAAGGGACACATCCTGCAGCCTTTTGTTGTGCCCAGTTGCTTCAATTTTTCAGTGTTTAAAAAAATAAAACAACTGATGAATAAAGAGCAATCAATCAATGGAAAAACTTTCCTTCAGAAGTTGTGGGTGCTCCATCACTGGAGGCTTTCAAAAAGAAACTGGACACTCATTTATCTGAAATAGTATAGGGTCTCCTGCTTAAGCAGAGGGTTGGACTAGAAGACCTTCAAGGTTCCTTCCAACTCTATTATTCTATGTTCTAAGTTCAGTCCTGGAATCTCTGCTGCATCTATTTCTGCCTTGAAGGATGACAGAAGGATTGTCTCACAGAAGATGGAGTGGATTTATTCTCCATTGCCCTAGAGGGAAAGTCCAGAACCAATGGATTAAAAGTGCAAAAAAAGAGGTTCACACTGTAGATCAGGCAGAACTTCCTTGATGTTTGTGAAACATAATGGTCTTATTAGTTTTCCTTCCCTGGGAAGTCTCCAAAAAAGGATAAATCAACAGATCTAGATGACCTCTAAGGTCCTTTCCAAAGCCATAATACATTTATTTGTTTCTTTGTTTGTTTGTTTATGTCATTTATTTTCTATCTCAATCCTCATGGACTTTCATGGTTTAGAAATAATAGGTGTCTGTATCTGATACCAATCATTTCACCAGTAGGTATACTAAGCAATTGTTCACTTCGGCAGTGGACATGTACAGTATGTACAGCTTTATGATATAAATTAACATCATGCTGTGTTAAAAAGCAAGGAAAAAGAAAATAATTGTATTTTGATCTATGGCTGAAAATTAGGGCTACTATATCTGGATTGCAAAAGTCAGATTAGATTAGATGATAGTCAAGAATTAGTTTTCTTTATCTCTTTGTCACCAGCAGGAGCCTGTCTAGATTTTGTCCTTCTAGCCTTCCTGCACATGGTGGAAACCTTATACTTAAGGCTTATCGCTCTAATAATGATAGAAGGGCTTATTTATTACAAGCCTCCCCCCCCCCCAGTTACCTATACAGAACGTTTTCTAATACTTTTTGTGTGTTTGCTTGCTTGCTTATTGATCATTTACTCAAACCTACAAAATGTAGATTTTGTCAGCGTCTCCATTTTGGACCATGTTTAATTTTTAATTAAGCATCCCTGTTAGGGTTCCTCATGTTCCATCTAAAGGAATCAGAAATGCCTTGTTGTCAACCCCTAGGATGGATAACCTGACCTCACTCCGGTGAATGCATAGAGTCAAAAGAAAACAAGAAATCATTTCATGCAAGAGAACTATTCCTTTCTTCCTGACAATTGGAGAAGAAAGACTGAAAAAGAGACAAACAGGAGGGTACATAATATATGCAATAAATTGGACCTCTTATATACTTGTCCCAAAAGTTACTGGTATTTGTGTTGTTTGTGCATGTTAAACACAGACAGATGTGTGTGTTTGTGTTTGTGTGTGTATGACTTTAGACACAAGTCTATTGAGACTTTGCTCTGCGAAACAGGGAGAAATACTGAATGATTTGACAAGGACATGCCTTGCCATCTGGATGAGTAGAAATGACCTATTGACGAGAGCTTCAGCAATACCATACTTGGAAAAGTTATAGCTCTAGATTCTCTGTTCTCAGCATTGACTAAGTTCAGATATTTCAAAATGTTTTGGTTGTAGTTACAAAACAGGTGACATCGATGATAAACATGACAAACTAGTTTATACATCATATGAGGTGTTATCTTCATGTTTATTAATTCTGGAGAATTAACTTGGAGATAATTATGGAGTGATAATGGGGTGAGTTCCTTTGACCTAGAATTTCTTATCTCTGCTAGCAAAACTGTCATCAACATTCTATATGCCCAAAAAGCTTGCAGCTCTTCTTTAAGGATATAGATTTTCTTTTACTGCAATTTATGTATATGGAGACCCCCCTTCCCGCCCCCCCAAGTTCTCTTTTGTCTAGATATCAAACTTTTAAACAAGTAATGTTGATGGAATCAATGGATTCCATCAACATTATTTGTTGATTACCTGATTACTTGTTGATTACCTGAGATTCTGGCCACATCCAGGAGAATCCTGAACCAAAGAAAAAGAAATCATTTGTCTTACCCAAACATGTTGGTTGTGGCCTGATTCAGTTTCATCACTGTTTATGTTTCCATTGCTTTGAACAGTGCTACTTCCTCCTCTTCCTTCAGAGTTCATGAAGGAGCAATCATCAACACCTTCATTCTGCATGATTCTTTGCATTAGCTCTTTCTTGCTCAGTGGTGTCCGGATTATTTTTAGATTACTGGTATAGATTATAATCCTCCCAAAATCTAAAATGCGGGGTTGCTGAAATAGAATGGCATAAGTAGATGTTTAATTTTTTTTTAAAGACGGATGGTCTTTTTAATGAGCTCCAATCCATACTTAGTACTGAGAAGTTTTCTTTCTTTCATTGCCCAGTAAAGTCAAGAGAGAATTCTTCCCGCTGATTTGCAAAGCTTGTATATTTGCAATGAATGGGAGTCATTTTCTATTTAGTGCCTATCAGATATGCCTTTATGAAACAAGAACTAAATTAGCAAGTGCAAAGAAAGCTCCAACATGTCCAGCCTACCAGACTTCTCCCCAAGTTGAATAAAAAGCCTGACCACCTCAAATGGTAGATGGAAACTGGCTTAGTCAGAAGGTCCTGTGCCAAGGTGCTGGAAGGCCTTGATAATGGAATTCATAAAGTTCATTCTTTATCATTACAAAAAGAAAGATACCTGCATCATTTACAGATTACATTTCCAAATCAGCTGAATAATGGCAAGTTAGGGGAAGGAAGGAAGGAAGGAAGGAAGGAAGGAAGGAAGGAAGGAAGGAAGGAAGGAAGGAAGGAAGGAAGGAAGGAAGGAAGGAGAGGGAGGGTACGAGAAAGACACGTAGAAACAAAAGGTGACCCAATATAGGGCAAGCATTGACATTGTGTTTATGGAGATTCTCAGTCATCCAGTTCATGGTTGTCCCAAAGGTGCTTTTTTTCAAGAGGCAACTGGAGTTTCCTGGTTTTTCTTTGAAGATGTTTCACTTCTCATTCAAGAAGCTAAAGAAGCTGCTTTTCATCCAAGAAGCAGAGCTGAAGATTCTCACACTGTGGGTTCACCCACACCTACTTTGTATTCTAGCATATAGCCAACTCCTAACCCTTGCTGATTACTGATATGCAACCCCAGCAAGTTCACAGTGAGGAAATGTCAACTTCAGGGTGAAAAATAGTTCTCCACTCCTGTCTATGTCCTGCCTGGATGTCAATTTTCCTAATAAGTAATATGATTCAATAAAATGCTTTGTAAATCATTGTATTTTCATTACTATTCCTTCAGAGCTTATTGTGGGCTTCTATACTTTTATTATTTCATCAGGCATACTTAGCAAGTGAATTTTAATGTAGCTGTTTCTGTTGCTTGCAATAGAAAGTGCTTGCAAATGGCATCCAGAACTGGATCTAATTTTTAAGGCACTATATACTGATTCTAATTGTCCTATTTCTAATTTTAAATGAATTGCTACCACCACTACTAAGCAGTTACCAAGCTTCCATAATTTCAGAACTAGAATGAAGAATCCCATTCAACAGCGATTATGTTCATTTTGTTTTCATATTCTCAGAATAAAAAGAAGGTAGATGCATTTTGATCAGAAGCATTACAGGTTTCAAAACTGAATAGACACTGAAATACTATACTGAAATATACAAACATTTGATTTGACAGAATGATCAGAATCAAACTCTAGGAACCTGTTTGGGTGCTAATTACCCTACTAAATTCCAAACTTTATAATTGTAAATCATCCACACATCTTCAAAGAATTGCCAGTTCAGCAATACCAATATGAAAAGCTACTTTACAGGAGGTTAGACTATTTATCCACTTGTAACCCTATTATCTCTTTCAGAGATACAGAGAAAATAGATCTGGCTTTACTGGTAGGTTCTCTGGAGGGTTGCAATGGAGTGACAAAGATTTCTTTCAGCTAATCATTTACCTATAGGAGCAATAAAATCCTTGCCAGCCTACCTCTTTCATCTAAACTACTCTACTGAAATGAAAAAAGGAGGGGTGAAGAGAAACCAGAAGTTGATTTATGTGATGTAGGACTTTGAACACTATACAGCACTAGCATTCAAAAACTAATTATTTTTATATTTATATCTATATTTCCACCAAGCTCTGATAAGGTCTTATGTTTCTTATTTAAAAAAGTACAGCAGGATAGTAGAACAGATCCTACAAGTTTGAAATAAGACCATACATGGTGTACTTTGATAGTCAACAGCTCTCCAGAACCCAAGCAAAAGTCTTCAATTTACATTGTTTGTACTTTAATCCTTTAAACTAGCAATGTAAAAATGTAGTATGTGATCTTTGACATGTAAAGCATAAATTCCCTCACTGCAATATGGAACTTCCCCATTACATAATCTACTATTTTCTGCTTAGACTTCTGAATTTATGCTGGTTTGAAACATTCTGTAAATTTAGCTAGAATATATAGCTACTAGTACATTTGTGTCAGGAGCAGCAAAATGCTTCCGGGTTGAAAGGATTGAATGGCGACAACACTGTTGCCCAAGGGATGCCCAGATGGGGGCTCCTTTCATGTCCCCATTGAGTTGCCTGCTGAAGTGGTACCCATCTCTCTACTTGCGGTTGCCCATTTTCAAATGTGGGGTCGGCAGGAGCTGGAGCGTGTGACAGGAGCTCACCCCGTCCCGCAGCAGCAACTGGGTCTCAAATGCAAGCTTGACAATTGTCAGTCCAGCATCCTAACCACTTCTAGTCACCACACTTCTATGTATATTAAAAGAATATATAATGGAAGCAAATAATTAATATTTCATTGAAATAATGTCTTGGTAAACATGACTAAACATTATTTACAATCTTTACCAAATGAATGTTTTATTACATTTTACTAAATTTTATTACAACATTACTTACCATACGATCATCAGCCTTGTCGTCATTTAAAAGGGAAGAGTTACTTGTGAGAGTGTATTTGTTCCCTTCTCTGAATACACTGATCCTCTGGGCATTCAGTTTAGCTGATGGATAAAAACTGTGATCTGGGTTTTCTCTAATCCCCAATAAATTGTCTCGGGGTTCAAAATTCCAGGACTGACAATTATGAGAGTAGCCTTCTGCTGGGATTTCAAGCTCTTGCCCATCTTCATACATTTGTTTTAAGACTCGACCACTGTAAGCTGAGGAAATTTTGAATCTTACTTTTCGCGATCTTGCATCATGCTTTTGGTTGGATTTCTTCTGGAACTCATCCATAGACGTTGGTTTTTCACAGAAATTCCCAGGAATTTGTCCAGCAACGATAGTTTCTAAGGCATCTAAATGAACAAATGCAGAGAGAAAGATAAATAAATAAAAAGAGCTAGGCAATATATAATTCAAAAGCTCTATGGGCCCTCTCACATTACGGCTTAAAAGGACACCTCAAGATTAAACATTGATAGAGCGTCACACAAAGAAATCATTGCTGCAAAGAAACAGAAAGAGGAATTTACTCAGGGGACTGGGGCCTAGGCTTATATATATGCTGTAATTTTGTATTGTATTGTAAAGGATAACATATAAAGGGGATTTATAGCTAAAGGAAAAGGAAATACGCATGTAGGTGGACACACATTTTATTCTACCATACTTTTAGTTTTTATTTAGTGGCTTAGTTGTGCACCGGTTCTAAAATAAATTAAAATAGCAGATAGCAATGTGTTAAAAGAAGAAGAATCAACACTAAACAATTCATTGCTACACATAATCCTCTTCAGCTTTATCAATGAATAATTAAGTGCCCTTAGATGTAACAGGATCAAATCCTAAGTGACTATGGACTGCATTATAGCTATGTATAAGGAGAACAATAGTAATTTGATTTATAATTTACCTCAATTTTTTCCCATCAATTTCTAAGTGGCAGCTGCCAGGAGGGAAAAAAGGTAGCTTTTCCTGAGAGCCAGGATTTAAAGATGGGAGTGCTACCAAAACTGGTTCTCTGACCTGGCTTTACTCCTCTTTCTCAATAGAGAAAAGCACAGAGTAGGTGGAGCTTCATCCAGAGGTTCTTCCACAGGGAGAACTTTGAATGCCTGCTTCCTAATAATGGCAAGCAGTGGTAAACCAGAGCCATACTTGAAGACAGCAGCTCTTTGAGCTGAATTCATCAACTCAGCTCCCTCCAGAGTAGGGCTGACCTAGGATAAGTTTTCTCTCTGAAGGACAAGTTGGCACATTCTTCTCTTCCATGTACAAAAAGTGGATGGCCTAGAAGGCAAATACTGGTGACTGAGCAACATTCTGAGGGAAATAGCCTAGCTTTTTGAGATGATGTACCACCAATACTTTTCAGCTGAGACAACTTCTGCCTTCTGCCTACCAGCAGAGCCATTGCTCAAATGGACATAGTTCTGTGGGCCTATTTCACTAATCTTTAGGATAGTCGAGTTTTTCCCTTCTTGTCTGTAAAAGATTGGATTTTCACATGTATAAAACAAGTGATCTGCTGTTTTTAATTATTTGCACTGAACAAACAGCAGTTCCATAAGTATAACAACCCACCCTCAAATCTTATGTGTCTATTTTGGGACATTTTTATATAACTTCTTTCACTCACTGGCAAATGCTCTAGTTTCCTGCCATTTTAATGCAACACCTACACATAGATGAATAAGAATCCCATGTTTCCATTTCAAGCCATAATCTTGAAGAGAATAACATTCCTCACCCTTATCTTCTTAGAAATATCCCAGGGGGTGTTGGAAATAATAAGCAGGTAAAGACGCCTCCTAAAATATATTATTTCTGCCTCGACTTTCAGTCAAGAACACCTAAACTAGTTTCCAACATTTTGGAAATTGTTCATAAGGATCAGTATGATTTAATCCTTTTCTTTTTAAGATGAATTGTAAATTTGGAACATGCAAGTAATATCCTTTGTTTCCTGCCAACTTTCCATGAGAACAAAAACTGAATATGCACATGGAATACTTATTTACTGGTAGGAGAATAAGCAATTATTTTTAGATCTGTATTTTGTAATACCTTGTAACTAGCATCCTCCATAAACTGTTACTGGAGATCTAATAAAAAAAAAGACTGATTAGATTTCCTGAAAGATAAGAGTTTGCCAATTTATTATATAACTATATATAATTTCTCAGTAGAAATGCTATATATGCTTTCTTCTTTATGTCTCCTATTACATGAGTGTCATATTACTTTACACTGAATTCAAATATTTCTTCCCTGTGCCACATCTAAAGTCATATGAAAAGATCTATATTTCTCTTACCTCCAGGATTTCAGGAACATGTCAGTGCTGCCATCTAAATATATCTACACAATTTATTACCACACTTTTTTTTTTCACAAATGGCATTATAAACCTGCCTGGGAAGGTCGCAAATGAAAGTTACAAGACCTGGGATGCTGTAAATGTCATATATACTTGCTGGTCGTCAAGCACCCAAATTTTGATCATATAAGCATGGGGATGTTGTGATGGGTGTGGCAATAGCAAAAGCACTTATTTACCATTCAATAGTGCTGTACAACACTCTCTGAACTGTGTACAATGTCAGCATATTTCCCCCAACAATCTGGGTCCCCATTTTACTGACCTGAAAAGGATGGCAGGCTGAGTCAACCTTGAGCCAGTCAGGATCGAACTCCTGGTGGGCAAAGTTAGCCTGCAAAAGGCACTTTTTCAGAGCCGTTGTAACTTTGAACAGTCACTAAACGAAAGCTTGTAAATTGAGAATTACTTGAGCTTATTAGCATCTTCCACATTTCTAATCAGCATATTCACACATTCATCTCTGTATGGACCCAATACTTTCAATTATGTTTTATGTAGATCTCATAGGCAAAGAATCCCTTGCTTCTCAGATTACAGATTAAGTGATATTGGACATTAAATTTAACACACACAAAAATAACAAAATGATTTTCCTTTTAATGGAAGGCATTAGGAATATTTTTAAAAAATATATAACTAAATATATATTCCAACAATTAAGTTGCTGAGTGCATAAAAATGTATGTAGAATATTTTGTGTTTTTCTAGCTTTTCCTTATGCAATATAGCCAGTAATGGGTTCCTCCCGGTTCTGCCCGGTTCCGCTGAGCCGGTAGTGGTGACGATATGACATCATCAAACCGGTTCTGCCCCCCCCCCCCCCCCACCCCCCCTGCGTTATTCTTACCTTTTATTTGGCCCCACCCACAATCTATTGCTGCTTCCTGAGTCCCAGCTGATCGGCTAAAAGGAAAAAAACTTTAAACTCTTGCCAGGGGCTTCAAAGGGCCGCCCTACAGCTGATCAGTGTTAAAAGGCAGTGTGGTGGTAGACTGGTGCCTCCAAAAACAAATGAGTAGACCGGTGCCTGCAAAAATAAATGGGTAGACCAGTGCCTCCAAAAACAAATGAGTAGACCAGTGCCTGCAAAATTAATAGGTAGACCAGTGCCTCCAAAAACAAATGAGTAGACCGGTGCCTCCAAAAACAAATGGGTAGACCGGTGCCTCCAAAAACAAATGAGTAGACCGGTACAGCTCTGCAAGCAGTTAAAAGCCTGGTAGACCAGTATCTCTGCTAAATCCTAAAGAATTGTCACATGATCACGCCCACAAAATAAGCTACGCCCACAGAACCGGTAGTAAAAAAATTTAGAACCCACCCCTGAATATAGCTTTTGAGAAGTCTCTGGCCATGCACACGATATTAAAAAAAACTGCCTCATTCATTTTGTAATTCAAATCCATCCACAAATTGTTTGACTTAATGCTATCTGAGTTTAGAGAACTAGTATTTCCCCCAACCAAAAATAGTGTTTTCTAAAACCCTGGCCCATGAACCATGAAGTTGTGAATGTTTCAACACTGGAAGTTTTTTAAGAAGATGTTGGATAATCATTTGTCTGAAGTGGTGTAGGGTTTCCTGCCTAAGCAGGGGGTTGGACTACAAGACCTCCAAGGTCCCTTCCAACTCTGTTATTATATTATATTATAACCCTGAATTTGATTTTGCACAGGAGCAGGGAAGCTTTTCACAGGTCAGATCTGCACTTTCTCTGTTTCTTAAATGTTCTGATTATATTATAAGGATGAAACAATTATTTTATTTTTATTTTTGCATCAGAAATCACTGTAGTCATTTTGATGGAAAACCCCTCAAGTTTCAGTACTGCAACCAAAACTGACAAGATGTAGCCTTCACTTCTTTATCTACCTTAGCAGAACTATGGATTGGTGCTATTAAAAATTCACAAGTGACTAGTGCCCTAGAAAATCTGTACTACTCAGATCATGGATGTGAAAAACACTCCACAGCGGAATTTATTAGCAACATAACCTATGTATTTAATTTTATAAGTAGCTTTCCACCACCTTGTGCTAGGTGTTTAAATATCCAGTCAATGAAGCAGTGAAGTTTGTTGGAAGGGCACTCTAGAAAAGAAAGACAGAGGGAGAGACAGAAATCTGCACATTTTATCTAAAGAGGCACTTTTTGAATGCACAAACTGAACCATATTTTTATCTGGCTGTTGCAATCAGTTGTGTTGTCCTGTGATTCCCAAAGGCCTCTTTAAATGGGAGTGAAATATCCTCTTCCCACAGCACACCAGAATTGCAGGATAATTCAGCACTATAGCGATTTCCGACAGAAGCAAAGTGTTCCTGGCACTGAATCCACTTACATTGGGTTTCCTTGCACGTCTCTCAACATATTCAAAACTTAAGAGTTGTGATTCACTTCAAGAAAACTGGGCTGCTGACTTGCCCACAATTACTCCCTACTGTAGTGTATTTTGAAAATGTCCTCTCTGTACTATTATCCTTTTTTCATGATTTATCATAGGGACATGTTGTTCAAAGTCTCGGAACACATCTGAAAAGAACAAAATGAGCATTACTGTAACATTGGGAGAACATTCATTTAACACTTTTAATTAAAACTTTGTCTTCATGTGCATTGGTGGGTTTCAAACATTTTTACTACCGGTTCTGTGGGTGTGGCTTGGTGGGCGTGGCAAGGGAAGGATACTGTAAAATCTCCATTCCCACCCCATTCTGGGGGAAGGATACTACAAAATCTCCATTCCCTCCCCAATCCAGGGGAAGGTTACTGCAAAATCCCCATTTCCTCCCGATCAGCTGGGACTTGGAAGGCAGAGAATAGATGGGGGTGGGGCCAGCCAGAATTTTTACTACGGGTTCTCTGAACTACTCAAAATTTCCACTATCGGTTCTCCAGAACTGGTCAGAACCTGCTGAAACCCACCTCTGCTCATATGTTGAAAATAAAAACATGTTTTTTCCTGGTGCAGATGTGACAAGTTCATATAAAGTAGGAGGTATTTCTTCTTCTCCACCTTTTTTTTAAAAAAAAAATCTGAGGTGTCAATTTGGCATTTTAAGAGTTTTGTCACTGCCAATCCTGTGTGCATATTATGCAGAGATAAATATAAGCTTTCTATTGAACAAATACAAGACAGAAGCACAATCACTTTTGATATTGTGATAAGTAGGCCATCCATCCTTCCACCTATCACGTTTATATCCTGCTTATCAACCTGAAATACTAATATAATCCAATGCATACTAAGTTATATAAATTCTAATTAAAAATATTTTAATTAGGAGCCACTCCAGTCTATATTTTCCTGAATATCCAGGGTTCATACCATACCATAATTCAGACTTGTATATCTGGTCATGCAGATACAGATTCATCAATATACAAGCTAGATCTGATCAAGCAGTTGCTAAAGTTTCAAACAAAGCTTTATTCAAGCTTTATTTTTATTTGGCAAATTTAGAGGGACTAACAATAAATAAAAAAAGGATTTTCTTCCATTTCAATTGCATGTTGCTAAACTAATTAGTCTTTCCTGAGGGAAACTTTTTTAAAAAATGTATGATTTGATATTGGACTTTT